GAAGAGCGTGAGGATTGCGGAGGGAAAAGTAGGGGTGGGCCAGGACAAACCCCCCATGGGGGAGGTCCTGGGGAGAATCAGTGGGATCTTTCTGAGAAGCTCTCCCTCAGGGCCTCTTGGATTTGGACACCAGCCTGGTGAGCCTGGAGGATGGCAGCCGGTCCGGGGCTGCTGAAATGGCCTCTCCTCACCATCAGCACCTGTCCTCCACCCCAGTAGGAAGGCCTCCCCTTTCCTCTCCACCAGGTTATGGAGGGTGCAACATGCGGCCACCACCTCCAGGATGTTGTTCTGAGAAGCTCTCCCTCAGGGCCTCTTGGATTTGGACACCAGCCTGGTGAGCCTGGAGGATGGCAGCCGGTCCGGGGCTGCTGAAATGGCCTCTCCTCACCATCAGCACCTGTCCTCCACCCCAGTAGGAAGGCCTCCCCTTTCCTCTCCACCAGGTTATGGAGGGTGCAACATGCGGCCACCACCTCCAGGATGTTGCGTTCCCCCATCTTCAGGCGTGTGAGGAGGCAACGGAACCTCCCTTTCAGCCAGCCAAAGGCACATGCCACCTGGATGCGAGCCTGGCTAAGATGCGTGTTGAAAAGCTCCTTGCATCCAGGTGGCTGGTGTAGGGCTTCATGAGCCACGGCATCGGGGTAGGCCAAGTCGGCCACTATGCAAACTGGCATCTGCACTTCCCCGAGTGCGAGGTGTCGCTGGGGGAAAAATGTTCCTGCCTGCAACCTGCGGTACAGGTAGGAGTTCCTGAATATGCGGGCATCATGTGCCCGCCCCAACCACCCATCACAAATGTCCGTTAAGTGTCCCCAGTGGCCGACGAGCACCTGCAGCACCTGGAATAGTAGCCCTTCCTGCTCTGTTTATAAACTGGGCTGTGCGATGGGGCGGTGTGCGGATTGCGATGTGTGTCCCATCGAGGGCTCCTCTGCAGTTCAGGAATCCAAGGGTGGCAAACCTGGCGATTATGTTGTCCAGGTCCCCTAGACAGACGAGCCTCTTCAGCAGCTCCGCATTGATGGCCCTCACCACCTGCAGCATGAGACGAATAGACAGACAGAAACCAGGGAGTTACGTTACTTAAGCTCTTGGGGGACCCTTCCCCCCTCCCACCCCAGCCCTCCCCTTGTCAGGACGCCCTCTTCCCCCTCATCAGTGTAGGGATGGCCGAGGAGCGACGTCCAAGTGCTACTCCATCCCCCACTCCCTCTTGCCCTTGCCTGGCAGTCCCCCTTTCTCAACCCCCCCCCACCCAGCAGGGCCTGTCCCCCGAGAGTGACTTACCTCCATCAAGACGGCCCTGACGGTAGACTTCCCCACACCAAACTGGTGTCCCACGGAGCGGTAGCTGTTGGCCAGCTTCCACAAGGCGATTGCGACCTGCTTCTGCAGGGGGATGGCGGCCGCAGGTGGGTGTCCTGGTGTTCCAGTGCAGGGGCGAGCCAGGCACACAGCTCCAGGAATGTGGCCTTCCGCATCCGGAATTTGCGGAGCCAGTGGTCATCGTCCCAGAGCTGCATGACAAGCTGGTCCTACCAGTTGGAACTTGTTTCGTGCCGCCAAATCTGCCTGTCCCCCAAAAATTTGGGAGCAAGGGCAGAACTCCTGCATCCCGGAGGAGGGTCTCGTTGGTGCGGCCTGGGTCCATACGGGGCAGGAGATTCATGACAGAGTCATGCAGATGCAGCAGAAGCTGCAGTATGGCAGCATGGGGCCATCCCCTGCCCAGGGGCAGCTCAGGCTCCATTGTCAAATAAAAGATGAAAAGCAGTAAAAAAAAAAAAATCCAGAAAATAAAGTGCTGTGGTGTCCGAGGAAGCAGGGCAACCAGAGCAAGCACCGCAGCAGCTTTGCTCTCCCCCTAGGAGGTAGGCAAGCCAGGAGCAGGAGCAGAGCAACGGCTGGCCAGGGGGATCCCTTTAAGCCAGTGGCCTCCAACCTCTTTAAGCATGAGATCGCTTTTTTAATTGAAGCGCAATCCAAGAGCTACCTCAAACCCAAATACCTTTGCCCCGCCTCCTTTCTACCCCTTCTCCGAGACCCCGCCCCTGCTCACTCCATCCTCCCTCCCTTTCGCCAGGCAGGGGCAATGAGTGGGGGTGCTGGCTCTGGTCTTGGATGAAGGGACTTGGGGTGTGGGAGGGGCTCTGAGCTGACCTTGGGGCCAACAGTTGGGATGTAGGAGGGGTTCTAGGTGCAGGCTCTGGGAGGGTGCAGGGGTGCTTGGGGCTGGGGCAGGAGCCTGGGGTACACGAGGGGGTTCATGACTGGTGTAGGGTTTCCTGATGTGGGCTGCAACTGGGCCCTGCTGACCTCAGGTGGCTGCTGGGTGGTGGTGCAGTGAGGCTAGGGCAGGCTCCCTGTCCCAACCCCAAAGCAGCCAGCACTCTCCATCCCAAGTCCCGATATGCCCCTCTCTGCTCTGTGGTGATAGGATACAGGGTGGGAGAGGGGGCAACTTGACATCAGCGCCTCTCTTCTCCCTGCCCTGCCCTGCCCAGAAAGCAGGAGGCTCCTAGGGGTGAGGGTGGGGGGCAGCTGCAAGGCAAAGGTAAGGAGTTGTGAGGCAGTGGGGGGGAGGGGCAGCTGAAGTGCCAGCACTTAATAGCTTCTTGGCCAAACCAGTCAAGATCACCTCTCAGAGGCTCCAAGATCGACCAGTAGATCCCGATCGACTGGTTGGTGACCACTGCTTTAAGCACACGTCTCTGCAAAGAGCAGGTAGTAGCGCCTGGACTTTAAGGCTGCCCCTGTGACCTTCCAGAAGCATTTCCGGGTGCCTTCTTTTGTCAACAGAGCGTCTGGCAGTCTGGACGCTCTTTGTCAACAAAGCAGATCGATTTTTCGATCCATGTAATCTAGTCTAGATGCTCTTTGTCGACAGGGGCTTTGTCAACAGTATCTGTCGACAAAGCCTCTGTCGACAAAAGCCTGTAGTCTAGATGTAGCCTTATATACAGTGCAACTCCTCCTTTTCTCCCCCGCTTTTTCTTCCTGAAGAGTTTATACCCTTCCGTGACTGTGCCTCAGTCATGTGAGTCGTCCCATCAAGTGTCCGTTATTCCAATCAAATCATAGCTCTTTGACTGGGCCAGGACTTCTAATTCTTCCTGTTTATTTCCCAGGCTTCTTGCATTCGTGTACAAACACCTTAGTTAACTAGTTGATTGCCCTACCTTCTCCATACGAATCAGAGGTCCTCCTTTGTTACTCCTTCCTCCTTGTATTTCTTTCTGGTATCCCACTTCCACACTTACCTCAGGGCTTAGATCATTATCCCGCAACAAATATAGTTTAAAGCCCTCCTCACTAGGTTTGCAAACCAGGCTTTGAAGATGCTCTTCCCTCTCTTGGATAGGTGGATCCCGTCTCTTCGTAGCAATCCTGGTGCCCAGAACAGAGTCCCATAGTCAAAGAATCCAAAGCCCTTTCTCCGACACCACCAATATAGCCTTGCATTTACTTCCAAGTTGTAACAGGTTGTTTTCTTGTTCTTCCAGGTGATTCTGGATTGCTGTGAAGGCAGCTCTCACAGAGAAGCAATGGAGAATCTTCTCAGGAAGGTGGTGGAAGAGAAGACCCTGAAAGCCGAGAGTTTGGTAAAACTCCTTGGGGCTGTAAAAGCGTCATTCCCTGATCTGCACCTTCTGCTAGACAATTTGGTGGCAGCAGCAGATGAGTCTGATGGCACAGGTATTAATGAATTTAGTTCAACAAAGAGAAAGCTAAGGGTGACTTGTGCCTACATGGGGAGCAAATATTTGATAATGGCCTCATCAGTCTGTTGGAGAAAGGTGTAACATAATCCAGTAGTTGGAAGCTGAAGCTAGACAAAATGAGATTGGAAATAAGATGTAAAAACCATTGAAATAATAGTACCAAAATAGATTTTAGCGGCCCTTAAAGTTGACAGAACAGGCTTGGTAGCATGGAATCATTGTTTATAAAATCGTCCTTATGTCGTCCTTATGTAGACTCATAGGCTGTGTCTACACTGGCATCCCTTCCGGAAAAGGGATGCTAATGTAGCACTTTGGAATAGGCAAATCCGCGGGGGATTTAAATATCCCCCGCGGTATTTGCATTAACATGGCTGCCGCTTTTTTCCGGCTTGGAGATAAGCCGGAGAAAAGCGCCAGT